ATCAATGCTTTAGGAAACCCCTTCATTGCAACATCGAAGGAACTTTGGATACTTGATACTAAAGATGTAATGTCAAGCAGTGCACTTGACACATTGAACACAATTGAGAAAAAGGGGAAAATTCAATGTGAAGTATATATAAAGAAGAGAATTATTGAAAGATCAAAAGCCATCACCAGACCCTATCAAGAGAAACAATTTCAAGATCATCAAACAAATCTAACTCAAGTTCAAAGCTAGCAAGCTTGAAAAATGACACTGCCCTGTTTTCACAACTATACATAGCGTGCCAGAATAGAGACGGCAACTTAGATGAATTTTTCCGACATGAGAATCAGGCATTCCCTTGATCCCTTTCACAAGATTGCACAATCAAGACTGGACTCAAAGCAAATATCTTAAAACCATTGGAAGACCTTGTTCCAAATATAGAGAATAGAGATCAATACACCAGATGTTGAAGCCCTGTTTCTTGATGGTGCCATAATAGTCCACCTGCTGAAAACCCAAGAAGCAAGAACCTTTCTACAAAACTCAAATGACATATTTAATAAGTATGTTGCAGATCAACTTAATAGAGTACAAAGACTTGATATTGTATGGGATCAATATATACCAAATAGTGTCAAATCTTCAACAAGAAAAAACGTGGATCTGGAAAGCGTTGAATAGTTTATCCAGAAAAAAAATTGCCAGGGAATTGGCCAAAATTTCTACGCTCGGATGACAAGAAAAGTGATCTCTTTACCTTCCTTGCATCAAATGTCTCAGCCATTCCAGTACCAGAGAATACAAAAATTGGGAATACTGCAGAGGCATATCCTAAGCAACATGTTTCTGAGATTTCACCATCATCCCATGAAGAGGCAGATTCTTGAATCTTTCTGCACATATATGATGCAATGAAAAAAGGTTTCACAAAAATGATGATTAGAACAGTTGATTCAGACATTGTTGCTCTGGCAGATAGTATAGCTGCACAATTAAACATTCAAATCTGGCTCGCCCTTGGCAAGGGAAAGTCCTATAGACCTTCCAGCCCACAGAATTGTCCATGTAATGACTCCTCAGAAAGCCATGTGTTTCCCAATATTCCATGCTATGACTGGGTGTGACGCCACATCAGGCTTTAATGGAAAGTCTAAGACATCAGCCTGGAACCAATGGAGTACCTACCCTGAATTGACTATATTAACAGAAATCTCAATACGACCCAATACCCTGCTTGATGCCATGCCTTTTTTAGAGCAGTTCATGATTCTGGTCTACAATAGAACAAGCAATAAAACATCAATCATTGCTGCGAGGAAGGAGATGTTCACAAAGAGAACTTCAATAATATCACACATTCCTCCAACATCAGATGCCCTTTTACAGCATATGAAGAGAGTCATATTATACAAAGCTGTATTTATTTGGGGATAATCACTAAAAGCAAATCCTCAAGTTCCTTCCCCAGCTGAGTGGGGCTGGATATTTGAAGCCACCAAATGGATACCAATTAGGTGGACAACTTTTTTACAAGCATCAGACACTTGCCAGGCTCTCATAAAGAGTAGCTGCAAAAACCAATGCATATCAACACGATGCAACTAAAGGAACTATGAAATACATATAGATAGTTGATATATGGAGTCTAACTGCACTCAGAAGCCAAAAGAAACCAAAGGTCAAACTGTATCTACCATTTTTTCTGTATATCTAAAAGATGGGTCAGAACAAGCCTTCAACAGTGAAAAAGGTGAAAAATAATAGTCATGTGAAGCATTAGATATTGATGTAATTTAAAATCATATATCACTCATTTGATTTACTCCTGCAACTGTAATATGGTGCAAAATATTCAATACAAGAAAAGTGGGCGTCGCCCATCACCACCCTTTAACATGGCAATTGAAAATGAATGGTATTTCATATTTTTAGTTCAACAAAAACTTCTTAACATGATAAGGTAATATTAAATTTGAAGTATGAGCATAATTTTAAAAAAATTGCGTCAAAGATTTTTTAGCCCCCCCCCTCTGTGACCATGGGGGGGTAAGAATTGTAAAATTATGGAGCGATTTTTTTGCACAGTTGCTTTATTTAAAGAGTAGCAATCAGTGATCATTTGAGGAAAGTTTCACGATTACTTTGCACTATTTATCTCGCTACTTAGATTTCCTTATATTGAGAAATTGTACTACTCATTTTAAGTCAAAAATTACTTAAATAATCTTGAACTACTGACAAACTCAAAATGACAATATAAGTTAAACCTAAGTAAAATGAAGTAAAACTAAGTATTTAACTTTAAGTAATTTTTATACTTGGGAAATACTCAAGTAATTCATTTTTAAGAGTGATTATATCAATCAGTTTACCAATTTCATCATCGTCGTCATTCACAAATAGTCCCTAATTATTTGTCCTCTAGAATTCATTCTATCAATGCCTGAATCTTGCTAAAAACTGACCTAGGTTGGCATTTCTAATCGCATATACATTCTTATGAATTGATGCTTCAATTGTTTTCTCAGAAACGATGCAAAGTACCATCTCCCAGTTTTACAATGGATCAAAAACATAATGAACAACACTTTAATTGAACTTGGTGCAAATGACCGTAGTGCTTTTGATAATACAAAGGTGAAACATGATGAAAATGACACGTTCTGCAATTTCCAGACGATTGTAAACACGGTAGCGAATATGCGTCAGAAAATATGGAAGGGGGAGGTCTAAACGAGAGGTCTCAATGGATTTGGCTGAAATATTCTGTACTTGTAGGGATTAGAGATTTTAAGCAATAAAATAGTCTCATTTTTCTATTATATTGGGATGGGTTTAGGAGCCAAAAACAGCTGATCCATGGACATTTTATCATTTTGAATATCAGAATCCAGAATCAAAAATTGAGGCCCTTCTTTTTCTGCGTACTATGTCAGGAAATGGACATTAACATGCAAAATGTCATCACCTCTCTTTCGTTACAGACGCCGACCACCGAATGCTAAACGCCGACCGCCGAAAGTCAAGCGCAGAACAACGACTACAAAAACCTGGAGACTATATCACCCTATGCAGACAGAGCCTGTTGGAAATATTGGGTGCGGAGCAAATGAGCGGAGGGTGCGGAGCTAACGGTTATTTTTGAATTTAAATTTGGGATATTTCTGAAACTAAGCCGTTTTGGGACTTCAAATATACCAAGATATGTGTATTTGACACCAAATATCAATACAATTGTGAAAATAGTAGCGCAATTCATTCTATAGCGACGCAGTGTGCCTTAAACCTTTCCCAGACCTATATATTTTGAAATTATCCTTTTAATACTGAGTCCCCAGCATTCATAAAAAATGGTGTTCAAGGTGCACTATCTATACAAATTATTTTTGCATCTTTGAAGCCAGGCAGTATCTGTGTGATTTTATAAAAAATCGGAAATTTTTTCAGATATGAGCCCCCTCTAAATATTGGGTGCGGAGCAGCTCCATAAACGTAGCTCCGCACCCAATATTTAGAGGGGCTCATATCTGAAGAACATTTCCGAATTTTTATAAAATCACACAGATACTGCCTGGCTTCCAAGATGCAAAAATAATTTGCATGGGTAGTGTATCTTGAACACCATTTTTTATGAATGCTGGGGACGCAGTATTAAAAGGATAGTCTCAAAATATATAGGTCTGGGAAATGTTTAAGGCATACTGCGTCGCTATAAAATGAATTGCACTACTATTTTCACAATTTTATTGATATTTGGTGTCAAATACACATATCTTGGTATATTTGAAGTCCCAAAACGGCTTAGTTTCAGAAATATCCCAATTTTAAATTCAAAAATGACCGTTAGCTCCGCACCCTCCGCTCATTTGCGCCGCACCCAATATTTCCCACAGGCTCTGTCTGCATAGGGTGTATATCAATATGTCAACACTTGTCATGAAAACTGAATAAAACCTCATTTATCTTAAATTTTCTTTACAATACTCAATTAAGATATGCATAATTGTAGGAAAATTTGTTTACAAGATTATATACATGCATATAGAGGATATCCTATGATTTATGAGTGATATGATTTTTATCCACGAATGGATATGATATCTGCACTGCGAGCGTAGCGAGAGAGTGCAGATATCCATATCCACGAGTGGATTAAAATCATATCACGAGTAAACCATAGGATGTTCTTTTTATTCCATAGTTTAAGTCCTCATCAGAATCGTCGGAAAAGTGATTTAATTCGAATTTTCCAAACGATCCGGCGATGTTGACACTTAGCCTCGTTTTGAGTCTGAAGTAGCAAAAATCCATAATTCATAGCATACGGCGCCGTATGTCATGGCTAAAACATCGTATGCTAAAATACCGTTTTCATTTTGACATGTTATCCTATGAATATCATGCTAACTATGGAATAAATATATATATCTCGAAAACACATCCCCAACATAAGCAGTATACATGTTCGTCTCTACTAGTGGTTAGAGATCTCACTTATTTTGCCAAAGTGGGTTCCCAACCCATAGAAAACAAACATTTGCTTTTGATTTTGTTTTCTTTATTTTTGAACTACAATACATTTTACATCATATACCTGGTAGCAAGCTTCAAGCCTTCAATATTGAAACACAAATGTATAACACACATTTAAATTGGATGTGTAAAGTGTGTGACTCAAAGGAATGTTCTTGTTGAATGCCCATGACTTGGAGAGCTAAGAGATTTGTTATTTCGAGCAGCTAATTAGTAAATACCTCAATTCAAGCACCAACTTTATAATGATAACATTTTGGTATTATGTCACTACAAATGAAATTATTCACAGAAACGGTATTTCGAAAAACAGTTAAGATCTGCACTTTTAACCCAAACCGTTTATGTAACTTAAGTGAGGAATTAAATCGACGATTCTGTTGTCTGCTGAGCTATTTTTCGAAAACACGTACATTTTCTAAAACATATGATACTGATACATGTTTGTGAGAAAAAATGTCGTAGGGATTCTGCCTACAACGCGTGAAATAAGGAAAAAATAAAAATCGCACCTTCGACGTTTCGACATTTCATATGCCTATTATTCAAACAACATATTCTTTATACTGTATACACTCACAAGGGTGTCATGTGAAACTTTTATACTGTAGCCTATATAAGAAAAAAAGCTGAATCGAATTGAATTGAATTTATACTGGATGCAAAGAACATTCCGAGCTGCCTTGCTGCAACCCTTTATAAAATATTTTCAAATCATTTAATCACATAGAAAGGTTATAAAATAGAAAGTGTAACATTACTCAAACACAAAACAATCATAAATATGGTATTTGTTTATTGTAATTTAAAAATGTTTTGGTGCACATTATCTATACCATTTTATTGTTTTGTACATGTTATAAAAAACACGCCTTCAAAGTCCGAAGCAACTCCACTACTCGGGCCTCCCTGCACTTTCGTTTTTATTTTCTCAAACCCAGCCAGTTTTAAAGCATTCTCGACATCCTCTTGCTTCAGTCTAAGACAAAAGAATCGCTCTCCATTCACGACATAAAATGATTCATTCAACACTCCGAACATTATCAAATGACCACCTTGTCGAATCAATTTTGACATATTGACGACGGCTTCATTATATTGGTCTATTGACTCACACGTGGCTTCCAAAGTAAGACTGGTCATGATGACGTCATATGGCTCCCGGATGTTGGGGTATAATGGATTCTGCAATCGAGCATCACATGGTAAGACTTCTTGGAGCTTTTCACGAACTTCGGTTGCAATGCGCTCATGGTCGCTGAATTAATATTAATACAAAATGTACGCTCAGTGGTAAAGAACACGTGAAGTAAATGCAGCAAGATTCGAAAAACAGGAACATAATATCGTTTTGAATAAATAATTCGACAAAAAAGTACTATTTTGTGTTTAATCAATTTGTTGCCAGGAGATTTTGCCAAGCGTTTTTGAGTTTTTTTTCTCATAAAATACAAAAATCATTACATTCGTTTAAAGCATATGACTGAGTATATTTTCTGCAAACAAACAGTAAACACTAAATTGGCATGATGCACAGGCACTACGTTAACATAAATATGACAATAGTGCTCCAGGAGAGCTCTGTCTGTCTACGAATATTTTTAGTAAAAATACAATGCTTCAGACAGACCATTACTGCCAATCTCTATGGTATTATCTACCAACCTATGCTGTTCTAGTTGAGCAACGAATTTCAATGCTTCACTCCAATCATGTGCGTCCTCTTCCCTGTTCCACCATTGTTCAATTTGCTTTCTATTGCATTCAGCAAACTCGCAACAAGTAATTTCTTCGACAGCATTCCTGGCACTAAACAGTGTATGTACTGTAGGACCACTTCCAAACTCAAGGAATCGCTTTCCCTTCACTTCACCTACAATAATAAGGAACGGTGTGTGATGTCACCTGTAACACTTTAATTATACATGTATGAGTAGAGAGGGTGCCTCTACTCTGATGCACGAGGGGGCTTTCTCTTTTCCACATTTGAATCAGTGAATGGAGCTTCATGATACAGATCACTTTAGCATCAGTTCGAGTATTAACTGTTTTCAAGCGGTCGTATGTTTAGCGTATTCCAGCCAGTTGGCAATGGCTTCCAAACTGAGTTAATAGCAAAGTAAACAATATAGTATTAATTGTAAATCGGGAGTATTCAAGACTAAGTATGTTTTTGGGTATCATAAAAGGTTTACCAAAATCTAAGTTTAATGACTGTGACATCGATTCATCTAATAACCGATCCTATCGGGTCTAGTTCAACAAGTTAAACCTAATCTGGGTCTTATTTCTTACCTGACATATCTTGTGGCCCGCCCTAGGTTTAACGTCCGTGCCTATTCGGCCCTTGATGCACAAAAAATTAATGGGGGCCTACGGCAGCGCATCGAATTCCATGCGCGTTTAATTATGACTGATCGTGAGAATTTGCAACCAATGAAAGCATTGCACGGAAGTTAAACCCAATCACGGCAACAATAACATTCAGATAAATAAATGAAAGCCGCGGTATTGGGTTTAACTTGTTGAACTATATCGGGTCGTGCTCCATGTAATAGATCTAAACTGCTTGCCCGGAATCGAAACCTACCGGAACTATACGTTTGATGTAGTTCTTCATATAAGAATGTAGAATGACCTCTTTCTTCTGGATCTCCCTTTGGAGATGAGTGGTAATTTTTTAAGTACCAAGAACTATCAAAAATTGTATTATAGTCATCTCCTTTACGAACACTTTCGACAGCCATCCCAGGCACCAGGAAGTAATAAGATATAAATAGTGTTGCAGTGACCACTCTAAACAGTGCTATCTGCGTTGTATATATCTGCTCGATAAAAGTACGAACATTTACAAACGCTTCAAATTATCTCAACTTAAAGCCGCGTTTGGTCCCAAATTATACTATAGATAAATGTGCAACTAATGGTTGCTTCTTAAATAAACTGTATGCATTATGTTTTTCACACGGAGTGTCTGAGTGTTATCGGCCTAATTTGGTAAAAGTCTAATAGGAGCATGTCGTTTTTATGAGTTTCAAGATTTTCTCACAATTTATTTTTTACTCAAAAGCAGACAAAATGAACCAAAACATACAATGACAATGCCAGCTATGCTTCTGCACGAAATTCGTCGGAAGCCTATCGTTATATATTAGGGTATTTTTTATATTGTGATCCAATAATTATTGCCCAAAACCGTGTCTATGATCTTACACTCGGAATGATCGCTTTCCATTAACTTTTGTCCATATTTTTACGAAGGCTTGTATTATTCTTGGATCTAATACCGACTCAAAACTTGAAGAATTATTGCATTTACTAAGTGCAACGTTTTCCTTACTTTTCAGTATTTTCAAATGATAATATACAACGCAGAGAAGCAGATTTACGAACTGATTTGGAGTCTGTCTAATATTTCGACATGCAAATAATATATGGCTCATTACGGAGACTTTTGTGATGGTTGGGGAAAAACTGCCTAGCTACCTTTACACGACGATCAAATGGGCATGTAACATTTGCAAATTCATGAACCGCGGGACAGTTTTTGATAATTATTAAAATGAACAATAACAATATTCTTGCTGTTTTGAAAACATTTATAATATAAATTATATTGTATCATATTTTAGTTTTGTAGGACATTTTTATTGGAAAATTATTGGAATAAACATACATATATGACAACAAAAACAATTGCAATCGTCTCCCTTTTAATGCCTAATCCAAACCTTAACGTCAACCTACAATGTCAATCCACCTATTTATTAGCTTTTACTTGCTATTGATTACGTCGTCAATTGCACACCTGCAGTAACTCTACTTTTATATACACTGGCGGATTTGGGGGGGGGGCCCAGGGGCCCGGCCCCCCCCCTTGGGTGGGCCCAGAAAAAAAAAATTGGGCCCAAAAAAATTTTTTAGCCAAAAAAGGCCCTGTGGCCCCAAAAAGTGGGCCTTTTGGTCATAAATAGGCCTTCTAAGGCCTTATTTTTTAATTTTAGGCCAAATTTTGAAGAAAATGGGCCTCAAAATTTCAAAATTTGGGCCCACATTTAGGTTTTTTTCTCAGCCCAGAAGTTTGGCCCCCCCCCCTTGTTGGTTCCCAGATCCGCCCCTGATATATGACCTTCATTGGGGACATTCCACTACATACATGTAACCAAATCCTTTTCAAAATAACTTGGACTAATTCGAGTTACTCATTGCCTCGTTTAGACAAAGGAGTGATATCGATATGGTGAACTGAATTCAACAATGTTTTTCTCTTAAACCAATCATTGAAAACATTCTGTTAAAAACACGGTCCTTCGTGTAATGTTGACTGACTGGCAACAATTTAATGCAAAATTATTTGTATATATTTTATATAACTGTTTTGTTAACATTTTTTGTTTCTCATTGCAATTGTTTTTTTCCTTTCTACCAATTCTTGAGAATGAAATAAAATGTCTTTCCAAACCTTGTTGGAACAAAATAGCATATACAACATTTTCTTAGACCTTTCAATATTATAGTTGTACAACGGAAATTTTGGTTGATTTAACAAAAAGTATGCAAAAACGTAAAACAAAACCCCCAAAATAGATAAAAATTAAGATAAACCTTTTAGTCAGGCATTAACAAGATACTTTTTTAAAATCAATCAAACTTTCCTTTGTACAATAACAATATTTGAGAGACCTAACACGTTATGTTTATGTCGTTTTGTTCCAATGAGGTTCGGAAAGATGTTTCATTTCATTCCGAACAGATGATACCAAGAACTCTGATGTGTTTTCTAAAACAATGTAGAGAAAATTATACATATATATACAATTCAAATTATAATGTTACCATCCAAAAGATGACCATTAAATTGATGATGTGTAAAATTTTCAGAATGTTTTAATAACTGGTAAAAGGCTAGAGAAACACATGTTCAAAAAGTTCACCATATCGATACCACTCCTTTGAGTTACTCATTTACATATTCAAAAGACTAATTCAAGTAACTCATTCCAGTGACTCATTCGAATAACTCATTCTTGTAACTCATTTACTCATTCGAGTTATTACTCATTCGAGTGGCTAATTGACTCCTTTGAGTGATTCATTCGACTAACTCATTCACTCATATAATCCCATTTGAGTTACTCGTTTACATATTCAAGAGACGAGTTTGAGTAACTTATTTACTTATTCGAGTTATCCATTAACTCCTTCGAGTTACTCATTAACTCATTCTCATTCAAGTTTCATTAAATCAACCTAGTGACTCATTTACTTATTCGAATAATTAATTCACTCTTTCGAGTTACTCATTGACTCATTCGAGTAACTCATTGACTCAATCTAAGTTCTCATCAACTGATTCGAATGACTCGAATATTAACTCATTCGAGTTACTCATTGATTCATTCGAGTGATTCATTGAATCAGCCGAGTTACTCATTTTCTCATTGAGTTATATATTCTCATACGAGTTTCATGTACCTTATTCGAGTAGCACATTGACTCATTCGTGTAATTTATTGGCTCAATCTAGAATTTCATTAACTCATTCGAGTAACTCATTCACTCATTCGAATGACTCATTCAAGATAAACTTTGCTCATACTCTAAATTAAAAAATACGGAAAGTGCAATATAAAACAAGATACACAGGCACTGGTACTCGATTTTCGTTTCGGTAACAAAATGTCGGAACATCGAAGGTACGATTTTTCTTTTTTCCTTATTTCACACGTTGTAGGCAGAATTACCACGACATTTTTAACACAAACGTGTATCAGTATCATATGTTTTAGAAAATGTACATATTTGCGAACAAATAGGTCAGGAGACAACAGAATCGTCGATTTAATTCCTCACTTAAGTTACAGAAACGGTATTTCGAATAACAATTAAGATCTGCACTTTTAACCCAAACCGTATAAGTGAGGAATTAAATCAACGATTCTGTAGTCTTCTGAGCTAATCGATCGTACCTTCGACGTTCCGACATTTTGTTACCGAAACGGTTCCGTTTTGGTAACCAGCGTAATCGAGCGGATCACCAGTGACAGGGGAACTTATTCAGTTGGTCATTGACAGACAGTCTGTCAACATGAAATTGGAGCCCTATATTGTATTGTAGTATTCTTTATTGACCTCTTATACGAGAGAGTTGTAAGAGTTAATTGTGAATTAATACATAAATAAGAAAGTAGATAAATTATTTGCTAATGTTTATGTTATGAGTGAAGTTGTGAGCGTTGCTTGTCTTTTAATATACATTGAATGAATTTTTACAACAGCTTGCAATGCAAGATCGCCATTCGTACAATTTAAGATCAAATTGATGCGATCTTTAACACTAGATGTATCGTTATATTTATAGATTTCGTTTAGTGCTAACCTTTCTTGAACATACATCTCGCAATGGCAAAGAAAATGTTCGAATGATTCTATTTCATTTAAGTCGCAGACATTACACAATCGACCATTTCCGTTTGCTATATCCCGCTTTTTGTGACCGTTTAGACCTAACTGACCAGTCACTAACTTCACAATAGTTGTAACTTGTTTTTTCAATCGTGGCATCCTTTGAAACAGAACATACCAGCTATGATACATATTGATGACCCGGAAAAGTGGTCAAAGTTTTTGAAAACGTCCGAATACTGTACAAGCTGATACTCGAAGAATGGGAAATTGACAAACTACAAACTTGGATTTTTAGAAGACCTTCCAGACTTAGAAGATAAAACTGCCTGGGAGTCGTTGAGACAATATTGACCCAGTCACGCTGAGAGAAACGAAGCCCCTAGTTCTCAAAATGGTTCTGGTGTTCGAGTTCCGTCAAAAATGAGGGATGCTGGAGCAGTCAGAAAGTTAACGAGAATGAGTCGTCAAAAAAGCAAAAAAGCGCTAGAGGGGATAAGCGACAAGAAATGGACAACTTGAGATTTCGCCCGTACAAATACTGAATTTACTCCAAATATGTAAATAATTAATAAAAATATCTATGTTCACCTGCGACATAGACAATAATAGAATCAAAAGACATTGGAATTTTCTCAGACATTTGAAATCTGTGCACGGCTTTTACGACCAAGAGCGTAATCCACTGTATCAAACATTTATTGAAGCGAATGACAACGAATTAATCAACAACAATATGTCAATGCTCAGTCAATATTCTATGTCTTCACCTCTGCTTCTTCTCCATCATCCCTTTACCTTAATCTCCAGTGGTCTGACACCCAGCGGTAAAACGGAATGGGTGAAGAATCTGTTGCAAGATATCGACCTGTCGATGACACACTCGCCGCGAATAGAGTACTGCTACGGGCAATGGCAACCCGCCTACGAACAAATGAGGCAAACGGCACCTAACATACAATTTGTGAAATATATTCCCAACGATATCGCCGAAGATGACTTTCTAGATGTCGCTGTACCAAACCTGGTGGTCCTGGATGATTTCCTGTCTGACTTTAGTAGTAGCAGAGCCGTATCTGATTTGTTTACTAAAGGCAGTCATCACAGGAATCTGAGCGTGCTTTGCCTTCTTCAAAACATGTTTCATCACAGAAAAGAAGCTCGAAGCATCAGTCTGAATTTAAGAAATATAGACCGAAGAGCAGGGGTAATATTGTCGAATACACCCCGCAGGGCTAGGCACACGCGTTTTCTGTGCCTCGAACGACCGAAGGGAGTGACGGGCTCGAAAGCTTTTGTATCTGGCCCTAAGGGGTGTATTCGACGATATTACGCCTGCTCCGAGGTATATATTACGATTTGAACATGAAAACTCACCAAAATGTTTCAAATATTCATTATGGTCCG